CTAAATCCTCGGCCCATAAGTGTTCTTTTTATATTCTACTTACTAGAAACATTTGATATATACTTTGCAAATGTTTTTCTCCCATTAGCTTGTCTTCTCACTTTATTAGTATCTTTTGTATTTTTATTTTTATTTTTGGAACTGGGGACTGAACTCAGGACCCTGAGCTTGCCAGGCAGGCGGTGGCACCACTGATCTAAATCCCCAGCCCTATTAGTATCTTTTGACGTGCAAAAGCTTTATTTTATTATTTTTAATTTTTACATTTTTGTTGAGACTACAGGTGTGTGCCACTATGCTAGGCTAAAAAGATTATTCTTTTCCCACTGAATGGTCTTGACCTTTGAATGGTCAAAGTCAATTGGTCTAAACTCAGTGGTTCTGCCTCCTGCCTCGAAAGCGCAAGGACCCGAGTTCCAACCCCATACCAAAAAAAAAATGTCAATTGGCCAGCCCCGTGTGGTGGCCCATGCCTGTGATCCCAGCACTTGGGAGGCTGAGTCAGGAGGATCACCGTGAGTTCGAGGCCAGCCTGGGGTACATAGTGAGTTCAGGGCCAGCCTGAACTACAAAGGGAGACCCTGCCTCTAAAAACAAACACAACAACAACAACAAAAAATCAATTGGCCACTCAGCAGATGATACCTACCAGTGAAATCTGCCTGTATCCCAGCTACTCAGGAGGCTGAGGGAGAAGGATCACAAGTTCAAGGCCAGCCTGATGAATTTAATAAGACCCTGTCTTTTTTTTTTTTTGGTACAAGGGATCGAACTTGGGACCTTTCGAAGCAAGCAGTGAAACCATTGAGCTAAATCCTCGGCCTGAGACCCTGTCTTTTAAAAAAAAAAAGGGTGAGGGTGGTGGACTGGGGAAGTATCTCAGTGCAAGGCCCTAAATGTAGTCCCCAGGATTTTGGGGAAAAATAAATAAATAAATAGGAAAAAAGATTGTTTTGGATATCTGGATCTCATTTTCATATGAATTTTAGAATTAGCATATTCATTTCTGCAAAAAAAAAAGCTGTTGGGATTTTGGTAGGGATTGCATTTACTCTGTAGATTTGTTTGGGGGATTATTATTATTTTTTGTTTTGTTTTGCAGTATTAAGGATCAAACCCAGGTCCTCACACATGCTAGGTAAACATTCTACCATCGAGGACTGGGGATTTGGCTCAGTGGTTCTGCCACCTGCTTCGAAAGCACAAAGTCCCAAGTTTGATCCCTGGTACAAAAAAAACAAAAACAACAACAACAACAACAACAACAACAACAACAAAAATATATATATATATGCTTAAAAAAATTGGGCCATTGAGTTACTCCTCCAACCCAGTTTATGTCTAAGAATTTTTCCATTTCTAGTAAAGGTTGTGTACATAGGAAGGGGAGGGGGCTTGAGGGGGGGAGTGGGATAAAATAAAATTTTTGTTTGGTACCGGGGATTGAACTTGGGTCCTTGCACCTGCACAGCAGGCGGTGAAACCACTGAGCTAAATCCCCGGCCCAAAATTTATTAAATTTTAAAAAGCTTACTGAAAAATTTAAAAAGGGCTGGGGATTTAGTTCAGTGGTTCCGATGCCTTGCCGGAAAGCACAAGGACTGGTGTTTAATCCCCAGTACCAAAAATAAATAAATAAATAAAAAATTGGGCTAGGGATTTAGCTCAGTGGTTCTACCGCTTGCCTCAAAAGCACAAGGACCCGAGTTCAATCCCTGGTACAAAAAAAAATTTTTTTTAAGTTTTTTCCATTTCATGTTGGTTATTTTGCTGGGTGTGGTGGTACACACCTGTGATCCTAGGACTCTGGAGCCTGAGGCAGGAGGATCACCATGAGATTGAGGCCATTGTGAGCTACATAGTAAGACCATGTCTCAAAACAAAACAAAAAACCAAACTCAACAAACTCATATTGGTTATCTAATTTGTTGACCTACAATTGTTTATAGTATTTCATATATAT